GACACTCTATAATAATAGGAACAATGCTTCTGTCAGAACCTCTTAGCCTGGGGTTATTCGGAGTCTTGTAGCCCCTCCAAACTTGCATATTAACTTTCATGCAAATGATTCTGGGGAGACAGCCTATATTGTGCTTACTAAATGTGGCTACATGCTAGGATCTCAGAGATCTGTTTGTCGTTTTCATGTGTTCAGCACAGATTGGTGTTTCCCATCAGGCATTTGGAAAGTAACAGGAAACAAGATGTTGCTTTTGTAAAACTCATTGTGAGGTTTTAAACTCAAATATGAGGTTATGTAGGTCCAAAAATAATAATCCATAAATATTTAGCATGTCTGGGTTGGTAAGTAACATAGAAAGAAAAAAGTCCTGGCAAAAGAGATATGAAAGGAGGCTGTTGAGGTGAAGGAGTGTGATAGCACAGCCAGGGGAATTAGTGTAGAAACTGGAAGAGAGGGAGGCAGGCTGTAGATGGCCTTTTACTGACAGTAGAGGCAGTGGCAGGCTCAAGGTTCTTTGTAGCGGCCTGCTCTGAATGCTCAAAGTCAATAAGGAGGCTGTTGTGAATAGAGCAGGCACAGAGAGGAGAGAAGAGGGATAAGGTGAGGGTTACAGCTGGAGGCCTGGTCAGGTGGGCTTTGTAGACTTTGCAGGGGCCATGATTCTGTCGTGACCTGGAAAACTATAAAAGGGTTTTGAGAAGAAAAGTGGCACCAATCAGCACACGTAGTAACAGATTCAGAGGAGGCTGGCTTCTGGGGCCAGAGCTGGAAGCAGAGAGACCATCAGCTATCGGACAGATAGTAAGGAGAGATGACCATAGCCTGGTGGAGTGGCTGTGTGGTTACAACTCATCCTGTTCTATGTGTACAGACAAAATTATAAAACACACCGTATAGGAAAAATAAGAGCTTGTCTAGGTTACCATTGCAAGATTCAGGATAGGAAGTGGCAAAAGTGATGCAGGAAAACTGAGTCAGACCTCAGTAGAGTCTAGACTTTGATGAGATGGTGTAATTCAGAGGCAGCACATTCTCATTTGTGACCTAGATTTCCACATAAATAATGAGTGGGGAAAAAAAAAACACCTTGAGCAATAAAGATTGAAGACAAACCAGCTATGGCAACACAGACGCCCTGTGCAGATGGCACAAATGTGTTAGCACAGTGAATTCCCAGAAGTACTCAAGCATAGAGCACACAGAGGCACAGTGACCTTACTCCACGTCAGAGAGGACGCCCAGCTCTGAACAAGAGGCTGGATCTGAACCCAGGCATTCTAGCTGGGGAATTTAGATTTGTCCACACTGTACTTCATTGCATCACATGAAGCCAAGAATCTAGGAATGTAGGGAAACTGCTGAGATGAATCTCTTATTGCAGCATGAGTTCTAATTGGTCTTAATATAAAAAGAGTCTGATATAGTGGTAAATGCTGAAAGATCAGAGGGACAAAGGAGCAAGCCACAGCCACACCTTACCTCGCCAACTTCTCAATTGAAAAAAGGTTGAGCTCCTGTCTCCTCCCATCTTCTATTCCTCTCTCCACCCAGCATATCACTTCCTGACTGTCTGTACAGACCTCCAGACATCTATGGATAGCTAGTGGCTAGCTCCATCCTCTGATCTTCAGGAAAGTTTTATTTGTTAGAGCACAAACAAGGTATCATCACCACATCTTACCTCATCCTGATCTGGAGTGTAACTGGCCATTGGTTTCACATCAGTTTTATAGTAGCACCCCTACTCACCCCCCTTTTGTCCTCAGAGCTGGGTTATCTGCCTTCCTTTTGCACTTCTTGCTATTTTTCTGCATCGGCTCAGTGTGAGATCAGAGATGCAGTATGTCTCTTGAATAAATCATCAGTTTGAAGCTGTCACTTTGTCAGTTGTCCCAAGGTCATGTTTGTCTTATCTTAAGACTTATTCGTGACGGCCCACCAAACTTACTGATCACTGGCCCTCTTTTCCCTATTAGTGTTAGGTCAGATTAAATTAACTCACTATCACACAAGCATCAACACTATATTAGATTGTTATCAAATAATATGTTATCCTGAGAGAAAAGTGCACCTCCTGACTAATTACTCAGAATATAATCATAGGCTATAAATAACCCTTAAGTCACCATTAATTCTTTAACTATGATGAAAGTATGGAGAATTTGAGGAGCACAAGGAATTCATAGTGAAAACTGTCTGGAGAAGGCCTGGCTTCATTTGCCAAACAAGTATATCCTTGGCCTCCTGGATACCAACAGATTTCCCTGACAGTCTTATTTCCTTCTCTGTTTAGACCCAAGGAGGTATTGAGCATAGTTTCCGTGTGGGCCATTAATGATGTTATTACAGTTTGATAAGTCACAGTGTTTGCTATACCTTATGTCACATGTTACAAAAAGAAATGGAAATACAAACTTAGTCCTAACAGATCTCCAAGTGAGAAGCAAGGGAAAACAGAAACGAAGGCTTAAGAGGCACAGCCCTTGGGTCTCAGTGTGTCCGGTTCCCCAAAACACAGAGAAATTCTTAGGACTGAGTTCAGTGGCCTGGGGAGGAACTAAGAGGCAAACTCAAAGAGGAGAATAGTTTGCATCAAAGCCAAAGACCTGTGTTTTATCTTGAGAAGTCTAGAGGGGCTTAAGTTTAGTTCTTGGCCGAGGAAATGGGCTTTGGAAACTACAGAGTCCCCCAAAACAGCAGGTTCAGTGTTCTCCAACATGGGTGTGCAGCCCCAGAGTCACAGACAGCCTACCCAGCTCTTCCTTCTCCACTCACGTTCCAGGTAAGGAACGTTTTTATTTTTGAAATCCAGGTGCACAGTCAGGAGAAGGGAGAAAACAGTGACACCCATCTTTTTAATGAGTATTGCTGCTGGAAGAGAAATTAGCATCACCCTGGATTTTCTATGATGTCAGTTAAATGAAGGTGTTTTATAGCACTTTACAACAAATTAGAATCAGCTAAATTGAAAATAAGCCTAGCAGCTGGGTTAAGTAATCAGGTAAGTGGCCAGTTTTTGCTATTTTTGCTCTGAGCTGAAGACAGAATTTGAATTTCTAATGTCCCAGAGGAATGGGATTCACACTTGGGTCCTAGGGTGATTGTTTCAGATGCTGGCAGCCCATGCCTACTCGTAAGTCAGTATACAACCTGCTAACCACTTCCCTGGAAGTTGGCCCTCATGCACGTGTTTGCACAGCAGAGGGCTATGAGTTAATGCAGGAGAGCAGTGTGTTTGGCTGAGCTTTAGAGAGCAACCTGGAAATAGATGACCCAGAACAACGAAGTAAATCAGCCACATTAGCCAAGAGAGCCCGATGAAAGGACTAAAATTCATGTGACAACTTTATAGCCACTCAGGAAATCAGCCCAAATCAGTGGGGCTATTAGAACACTTTTATGTCTTAAGAACACAAGTGCCGTCTTCCCTTTCTGTAATTTGTGTATAGTCAGAGTGTCCTGACACAGTTAAACACTGCCTTTCTTTGGAGGCAGTGTTTCCTAGCTGTGACTCTCACTCTGTGAGCCAGTATTTCTTATCCATATCACTGATGATTTTGTTATCTGGAATCTTTTCATGAAGCTCACCAGCCTCATGGGCATCAGTAGCCTGGGCTGTGATCAGTCGGTGTTATGTCTGGTGCTTATATCCGGTTGCCTGTGCTAACAGAAGAGGAAAAGAGAAAGAGATGAGAAGGGGAGTGGGCATAGATAAAAAAAACTTGAAATCTTGCACATTGCTCAGAATGGAACTAGTGAGAGGGAAAATTTTGCTTATAATTGTGATTTATAAAGAGAAATAGGCTGTATCAAATCTGTAAGTTTCCTTGTACCCTCCTTTACAGCTAACAGATTAAATGAAACAAATCTGCAGAAAGTCCTCATATCCGAGTTGATGTCTGTCAACCAGAAGGAAAAACAAAATTTTCACATATTTCCTTCTCTCTACTTGAAACTCGTAGAGTGTCTCTATGTCTTCTCAGAAAAGTCCCAAGTCTCAAAAAATGCAGGAAAAGAAATTGATACCCAGCAGCTGAATCAGCAGTTAGGTTTTCTCGTGACATAAAAATGACAAACAGAACACCCTGCCCTGTTGTTTTTGGTTTTGTTCTGTTAGGAGTCTCTTCCCTAAGGTTCCAACTGGACTCTCTGTAGTTTATCCTAGAGATTTGGATGTTACAAAAATAAAATAAACAGCTTTCAGTTTTCATCCTTTTTGCTTTTTGATAGTTCTACTCATTAGTAGTACTTTGAATTAGAATGGCAACTGGGAAAAGTCTGCCTTCTATACCACAGCTGAAGATCCAGAGACCAGGGCCAGTGGCGGATGGATCTGTTGACAGTGAGACTAGATCTTTGGTGCCGAGCTCTGCACTGCCAGCCTTAGTGCGTTGACCCTGGTCCACCAACTCGGGTGTTGTTCAAGGTGACACATCACTGTAGAGACAGATTTCTGTGCCCTGAAAGCGTAACGACTTGCCTGAGTTGTAAAGGCTGTTTGCTATATTGTGTTGCATGATAAAACCTGGTTCAGAGAATTGAGTGAATTTATAGGCCAAGAGTTCTAACGTGCTGACTGGTTATTTCCCAGGGAAGTTTATAACGAGCCTCTCCTCTTCCGCACTGCCCTCTCCTGGCTAATAATTTTCTTAGTAATGAGTTTTTAGAAAAACCAGCCAGTTGAGGCTCAGGAGCTGCTATCATTTTTACTTTCCATTAGAAAGTAATTTCGAATTTTATTACAGGAAATGCAGGGTTGATGTACAGCGATTAATCCAGATGCACATACGTAGGAGGTGGCAGAAATGATATAAATGGTTTCAGAAAGTGTCTGTATGAAAGTAATTTGGTCATTTATATGGACTTTGTAACGTCTGTGAAAGAAAAGATTTTGCAGTTTATTGCATCATTAGTCAAATTTTCCAAATCATTGATGTGAAAACCCAGAGTTATTGGAAATAACTTGGACACTGTTTCTCTGTGTTTATATTTTACAGTGGCTGCTAATTTACAGAAGATTGTAGATGACCCCAAAGCTTTAAAAACATTGACATTTAAGTTGGTAAGTAGGAAGGTGGAGACGGAAGTGATGTTTTTGTCATGCCAATACCCGTGAAGAATAATCACCTCATTCCATACACATAATTTTGTTGCTGCTAGATTTGGGGAGAATCACATTTTTTATTCATTAGTTGCCTCTGCCACATTGTGAACGTTTTTTCTGGAAACTCTTACTTCGTGAATGTAGGTCGTTCTTTCCTCATCATACCTCTGTGAGTGGCCCTTTGAGACCCTCAAGGCCTGTGGGTACCATTTTGCTCCAGAGCCTCTTTCTCTTGCATCTTGACCATACAGACAAAATTAAGCTGAATTCAAATCAGCACCCTTTCCTGAGCCAAACTGGGTACTTCTAACTTTTAAAAATAGAGTCTGAGAGTTGTGTAAATGGTTCAGGTAATTGGAAATCTTGCTGAACAGCCCACTGAAGGCTACTGAACAAAGATACAGCATTTCACCCCCACACTGAAATCATGCCACCACATTTTTGTAAAGACTGTTTGTCCTAACAGTTTTTATGCAGTAGGGCATACGAACAGGGAGCATTCTGGGGTGACTGTGAAGCAAGTGCGTAGTCTAGATCATGGAGACTGATGCATTTCCAAGAAATTTTTAGCAAGCAGTGTATCAAGGCAAAAATAAATGACTCATTTAAAAACACAAATTAATCATATCAAGGGCCAGTCAGAATGCCACAAGTAATTTAAGATCTAGAGGACCAACATGTGACTATGCAAAACTAATACTGATGGCCTACCTTCTTTGTTGATCCTTGTGAAAATCAAATGGAAAATTCTTGTGGCCACAAGTGCTTCGTGAATAACCACAGTAAATGCAAGTTAATGAATTTTCAATGTTTTGCTTCTCATCTCATTTCAGGAAGCTAGGATGTGTTATCAAATAAAAACTCAAGGGTGTTCACAGAATGTATCTGGTAATAATAGAACATTGTATTCACTATAGAGCTCTACAAGACACAGAACTTGTCTTTGTGGCTGTCCGATGTCTCATCTCTACTGTGTTTAGAACTCACCTGCAATTTTGTGAACATGTTTTATTTATATGAGAGCATGTGATGAGAAAATGATACCCTGTGCCAGCATTTCAAACTCTTCTAATTTGGGGTGGAGCACTGTCTGAAAGACATTTTCCCCATTTTGGACGTCTAGACAGAGACCATCATTTGAAACTTCCATGCCAATTCATTCCCAGCACCTGTGAATTTACTTCCTGTAAAACAGTAGTGATGGTATCCGTTCAGGAAAGTTGTTCTGAAAGCAGCTACTATAGTGAAAGCAGTAGGAGCTGCAACACTCTCCCATCCCTTCCTCTGATTAACTTTTGGGTTTCCTGGATGATCTCCCAGTTCTCTCTTCTGTGCTCTGCACCTCGGTAGAAGACACTGCTTTGCTTCCTAGGACATCTTCCTAACAGCTGTTCCCCAGTGCCTAGCTTACTGTGTGCAGAACATCAGCTCTAGCCAGAGTAGCCTTTCTGCAGTTCCAAAGGGCTGTACAGACGGGAGTGGCTCCCTTCCGCCCTCATCCCTGATCATGATGCAAAAGCCATGTCTGATCCTATGCCCTGTACATCTGCTGCACTTCCCCTCTGATGGCCGGACCCTTTATGTCTTGGAAGTCTGAGACCTGGTGGAGTCTACTTTCCCAGGATCACACAGTAGATGTTGCAGATCCAACTTTGGTCTAGTTGAGAGCCCACATGTCTTTCAGAGGCAGCACCTAAGCCTTTGCTTTCATGGATTCCTTTGAGAATTCTTCTTTTGTCCTTCTGGATGTGTTTATTTTGCTTGAGATGGGGTCTCCTCTGTACCTTGAAGATTGAACAATGCCATATAGTGCACAAGAGGTCCAGGAAGAAGATCTCTGCCTCAGCTAGATAGGTAGCAGCGTGTTCTCACGAAATGGAAAATAAACATATTTCCTCCAGTGGTAGCTGGAGATGTTAAATAAAACCAGTCTCAAGAATGGCCTTCTGTCCCTGTCTTCACTCTCTGTCCAGTTCTTGTTAAAGTCTGAGGTTTCTTTGTTGTTAGCAGCAGTCAGCCAGATTGAGACCCATTCCACAGAACTCAGTTGAAGCGTTGGCAGCCAAATAAAACTCTAAGGATTCAGATGCGTTGGCCTTCATCTATCAGTTTGGCTATTTTGGTTGAAGAATAAAAATAAAAGATCAAAGTGTTTCAGCAGTGGTTTTCCTCATCAGCTGCTGCTGCTGTGGTTCAAGGTCTTTCCATCTCTCAGCTGCTTACCATGATTCCAATTCCAAGGAGAATGTCAGGGGTCTGGAAATTGCCTGGAGAACAGGGAGGGCTTACTACAGTGTTTCCTTACCTTGCTGGACTTGGTGGCATTGTTATTTAAGAAAAGTGGTGTGAGAGAGAAAGACGCCATGCGATGGGGTTCAAGCAGAGGGTTTTTTTTTTTTTTTAATTAGGGAAAGGGATCATTAAGAGGGAAAGGGAGGGGGAGTCCATCTTCCAGGGACAGGAGCAGCCGGAAAGAGGAGAGAAGAAAGAGGGGCAGAGAGGAGGAGGGGGAGAGGAAGAGAGAGATGTGAGGTGGGCAGGGCCATTTAAAAGGGAACATTGTGATTGCACAGGTGGTGCTCTTAGTGGCTGCAACTGAGGGCATATCCTGTCAGAACCCAAGGACAGGCCAGTACAGATGCCTGAATACTAACTCATGGACCTGTAGGGGTACTTTAACTCATGAGCCTGTAGGGGTACTTTAAAAAAAAAAATCCCAATTCCCAGGTCACTGTCCAGGTTCTCTGCTTGTAGAACTTTGAGGGCACCACTTAGTGATGCTGGTATTTCACCACAGCTGGAAGCATTCTTCCTATAGATTGATCAGTTGCCATTTCACCACCTCTACCACCACCACTTGGTTCACCTTTTGTCCTTACCTTGTTATTTCTAATCACTTAAGAAACCATTAGTATAAATGCCAGTGTTGGTGTCTGCCTTTTATCTGAAGAGGTAAGAGGCAGGCTGACCTCAATGAGTCCAAGGCGAGTCAGGGCTACAGTAAGACTTGTGTCATAAGTGAAAATAAACTAATGAAGTTGGACTTCACTTTTGCCCAGTCAGCTCTTTAACCTTCTTTGACAGGTATGGTTTCCCTGTTGTCATGGCCTGGGCCAGGGATCAGCCTCTTCTCTCCTTTTAAGGCAGTTCTCCAGCCAGGAGGTCATTTCCGCCTCAGTGGCCTGCGACCTTGAGTTTGACACAGCCACACTGCTGTAGAATTGTTATATTTTTAATTAGCCACCCCAAGGTTTCATAATGTAGGTGCATTTTGCTGCTTTCAATGTGGGGTTTTAAAAATTGCATTAGTGAAAATGTGAAATAAGATATATTTAATCTGCCTTTGAGAAACTATAAATTGGAGTGCATGTAATTAACATCCAGTTGGTACCCATTTACATGAGCATTATAGATTTTAGTTGTGAAATGTAATAACATGTACATCGCAGATAGAGATCTCATAAGCATTTTGATGATTAATAACTAAAGGGCTCATTTCTAGGGGTTCTCAGCGTAGGTTTACTTGGAGGATGCTTGATTGCATTATTCCATGAAATGTGGCTAAAGTGAAAACAGAAACAGATGAAACTATTGAGAGTTTTTCAAAACCCTTACTGCAAGAGGACAAGGGTGAGAACTAAGGGACTCAGCCCGTTCAGAAGGTCCATGTGGCAGCCCCTGTTTCTTGTTCTGTCTAAAGCAAAGGCTGTCCAAATGTGGGCCAGACAGAGACCACAGAGTGGGCTAGAAACATTCTTTCAGGCCCAGGGTACTGGGGCAGATGGAATGTGAGTGGTGCAACCTTGGTGGTGGAGGTGTGTAATAGGGATAGGCTTCAAAAGCCTTTTCTCATGTCTGGTATGTTCTCTCTTCCTCTTGGTTGTTGGTCAAGATGTAAGCTCTCACGGGAAGATTTGATGGACTTTGCAGAGCCCTCGTTGAGGGCCCTACCCTGCCTGGGGAGTGGTGGGTGGATGGGGTGGGGGTGGGGGAGGAGGGATGGAGGTGAGGGAAGGGAGAGGGAGAAGGGACTTACATGAGAAACAAGCTTGTTCCCTAACTAGAACTAATAAATAAATTAAAAAAAAAAGATGTAAGCTCTCAGCTGTTCCTGTCACCATGTCTTTGTCCTGCTGTTAGAGACTAACCCTCTGAAACTCTAAGCCCAGTTAAGTGCTTTTCTAATAAGTTGGCTTCTTGATCATGGTGCTTTGTCACAGCAATAGAAAAATAACTAAGACAAAGACCCACCCCCACCCCCTGGTCTTGATTTCTATAGTGGCTGTACAAGTTTTCCATCCCAGTGCATAAGACTTGTTCTTTCCCTATATCCTTATCCACAACTACTACTGTTTCCTTGATAATGGCCATTCTAACAGTGGTTAGATGAAATCTAGAAGCAGTTTTCATTAGCATTTCCTTAATAGTTAAGGAGGTTCGAAACCTTTTCAGATATTTACTAAGAATTCCTTCTTTTGAAAACTATTCAGCTTGCTAATCCATTTGTTTATTGCATGATTTAATGTTTTGTTATTTAACTTTTACAGTTGTTTGTGTATTCTTTATATGAAATCCTTGTCTGATGCATAATTAGCAGTTTATCTTTCTGCCCATTCTGTGCGATGTCTCTTCAGTCTGGTAATTACTTGCTATGCAAAAATTAATTTTATAGCATCCCATTTGTCAGTTCTTTAAAGTTCATTTTGAAGCTGAGGTGGAAAGAGTCTAGGTTGGTCATGGGCATTTATGGTTCCCTGTGACCCTCCAAGAGGATTCTGGATGTCACAACACTTTCAAGCACTACTAAGATAGCATTGCATTGCCTTTTCCACTATGTTGGCCTTGGTACAGAAGTCCTGATAGGTAAATCTCACAATGTTGCCATAAATAAAGGCAGAAATGTCAGTCCAGACTTCTAGTTACATCTCATCTCAGTAAGAAGACAAGTCGGTTTCGCTTAAGACTGTTCCACAGGGAAGAATTCTAGTTTTGTTAAGTTTCAGGTTGAGGACATGTCCATTCAATGTTCTGTGTAATTAAATGGGGACAGACACTCCTTTGGTGTACAATGGAAGTACAGTGAGGAGCTTTGGGGAAAGCTCTCATGACTAGCTAGTTGCTTGCCAGCTAAGACTCTCATTACCCTCCCACCTAAAAGAAACAATTTTTACTAAGAAAAACTGACAAATTATTGTTACCAGATTCAGCTATTTAGCAGACTTTTTTTTTTTAATGAGCAAAGTAAGATTGACACTTTAAAACCTGGCATTATATGTTGTCAGTAATAAATTGGAGTTTTCAAATGGAAATGGGATTTTAGAAAACTTATTATCTATTGTTAGTTGGTAGTTGCCCCCCCCCACCCCGTACTTACTGGCTTTTCCAATTGCTGATGGACCATATTAATGAATACGGTTTGTTTACACTGTATTACATTCATATTGTGTAATGAAATAACCTTTAGAAGATCTATAAAACTGATGGTGCTTAAAAATCATACACAGGTAAAGATCCACTCAAAGGGCAAAGGGGACCAATGGATTTTAATGGAACGTAGCACGGAAAGTTCAGTGCTCTTGCTTCAGATTCCATGCTGTAGCTAACCTTTCAGAATCACCACTGGGGAAATTTGGGTCTTACAGCAGACAGTATTTGGAAAAGCTTTTAAAAATTCTCTCCGTTTCCAAATGCGTGTTTGTGTGAAGCTGGCTTTGACTTGGGATACTTCAGAGTGAGCAGCGCCGAGTAATAGAATAAACTCGGAAGTATATATAAGAATCCAGCTGGCATCACTAGGCAAAATGCCAAAGAAGTTTGCCAAGTCGCATCAGTGTCCTCGGGGTTTTGTTATTGTTGCTGACTCTTTGTGGGAGGTGGTGGGAAGCTATTGTTTTTCACAGAGAGTTTTATATGTTGCCATGTTACGAGTTCATCATTAGTTTTAATGACCCAGTAGGCAAATATTTTAGAATTGTATGTTTTAATTTTTAAGATAATATAATAAATATAATAACCTACATGAACAAGTTTTTAATGTAAGGTTTATTTTGGGTTTTGGGACCTGAACCCAGAACCTCATACATGATAAGTAAGTGAGGTACCACTGAGACATAGCCTCAGCCATCACTGTGAAATATTTTAAACAGCATTATTTTAGTAACATCAAAATATTTTTAGTTTTTTTTCTTTTTCTTTTTCGAGATAGTCAGTACAATGAAAATATCCCACATAAGCATATTTTTTGGAGTCTTCCATCTTTTCTTAATAGTAAATAGTGACCTTGTGTCATAAAGGTTTGGAGTCTGTGTCCTGGCGGGGCCTGGGTCCCTTGACTCTGAGTGTCGGACCGTGTGTGCATGGTCTTCTTGGTGCTTTGTAGACTGAGAAAGGCTGAGAGGAGCTGAGCACAGCATGGGTTAGGGGCAGCAGGCTTCATGGAAGGTGCCTCAGTCTTAGAGGAAACCACAGAAAGGCTTTGTCCAGGAAACAAGGACATCTGTCTGCTAGGCCAGGCAACAGAGTGGGAATTTGGAGAGACTCCCCGTGGGCCTGCTTCAAAACTGTCCTTCCTGAAGGACTTCATAGTTCTCTTTCCTTTCAGGTCAGCTCAAGCACTGTGGATATTTTGGTTTTACTCGTCTTCATTTCGCCAAATCTTGCTATTCTTTTTGTCCTGTCTCTGAAGTAGCTTTGAAGTGCCTGATGGGCTTCAACGATAGCCAGTGGGATCATTTTGTCACCAGCTGTGGCAGTACTTTGTCCTCAGCTGCTGTCACTCACCTGCCTACTAAACCTGTGGTTTCTGCTGCCAGTCAGTGAAATTAAGAAGAGCCTCACGGGAGGGAGGGAAAGAAGAGGGAGCGTGTCAGGGGCAGAAGAAAGAACAGCTGTAATGGAACAAGAAAGTAAGGGGCGGAAGTGTTTCAGTACTGATGTGACAGATGCCACGAGGAAGTGTCCCTGAAATGGCTGCTGTGCTGCACTTCCTTTTTGGAACGGAGGCAAAGCAGAGACTGGAAACTGTTCTTCATTGAGTTGCTTAACTGTCAAGGAAAGTTAGAGGCGTCGTTGGACAGGCGCAACATAGATTCCTTGCAGTAAATGCTGCCTGATTTTTACCTGCCTTCAAGGCACTGATTTGACATCAGCATAATTTACACTGAATGTTATATTAGAGGCAGTTACCAAAATGTCTCCAAACATTTAAAACGTACTTTGACTATATTCTTTCTTAATGAAAAATGATACATTTGACAAAGGTAGGTTTCATGTACTGCTGTTTGAACGCAATGCGTGCTTAGCAGGTTAGTGGTGGTGTTTGCAAAGGGTTACAAGAAACTATTATTAGTTGAAATCATTTAGCATATTTTATGTGACCCTTTGATAATAAAATTTTGTCAGTCCTAGTCATTGGCCAAGCAGTACTTTATTTATCAGCCAATAAGTCAAACACACACCCATCAACCCCCTCTTTAGCATTTCTGTAATCTCCAGTTTTGATCAGTGTATGAGAAGGTGAAGAAGAAACTTACAAATAGTGATCTCCCCCTACCGTGTGCGTCCACGTGTGTACAGGTGCTTGTATCCATACGTGAATGGGAAAGAAAATAACAAAATAGGATTAATGAAATGATCCCAATAAGTAGTGACTTACTTTCAATATCTTCTGATCTTGAAGTAATAGGAATAATAAAGTTTTGACACACTATGATTTGGGCTAACTTAAGGTAACTAAAATGTGTTAAAAATAATATGAATATAATTTTGCTGAAGGAAAGAATTCTGTTACAATGCTATCTTAGTCATCTTTTGCCGAATCAGACATATACTTCGGGTCATGAGCTTAGGAAGAGGAAATGTTTACTTTCACTACCAGATTTGAAGGTTCCAGTCCACGATTGGTCAGTCCCATTCATTGATCCTGGTCTGTGGTGGGGTAGTGTATCATACTGAGAATACATGGCAGAGCAGACCCACTAGTCCTATGGCCAGGAAACAAATGGCAGGGAGAAGTGGGCTGGGATCTCACTTTTCCTCTTTAAAGGCATGTTCCCATGCACCTAAGACTTCCCACTTAGAGGCTGAGGCAGATAGAATATGAATTACACCCATAAGTGTATCTGGGCATGGTCCTGTAAAAATGAGTAGCCATCTCTCCACACCTCCGTTCTTTGAAGGCATCAGGGCTAGGTTTCTAACAGCATTTGCCACCCAGAGGTCAGTATTCCCTGACATGGTTCTCGGCGGTGTCTCCTTAAAGAGGAGCCAGTGACCTGCGCAAGGTTCTGAATCTAGCACTGACAGTTTCCTCTTCCTCTGCAGGCTTCTGGCTGTGATGGGGCGGAGATCCCCGATGAAGTGAAGCTGATCGGGTTTGCTCAGTTGAGTGTGAGCTGATGTATGTCCCTTGCCGTCACCCTCATCTATCATGCCCCGCCTCCGTTCCAGCCCCTTCTTTGGCCCCTCCTCCCCCACCCCCTCACTCCCAATTCCCAACAAATAAGAAGATTGTGAAGAGGCTGGCTTCGACGAAGTGGGATAAAAAAATAATAATAATTTTTAAAAAACCTACAGCACTCTGAGTTCTGCTTTATTCTCCAGCAATCCACAGTATGAGAACAGGCAAATGCTACAGCTGCACAAAACTGTTGCTGATTTCTTTCCAGGAGGCCATTTAATATTCCTAGCAGTCGATTTGGCTTGCCCGCCCCTAAGTGAGGAGTCTGAAACACACTCAGGTGGTCCTATCTCTTGGTAACAAAAGGAGCCTCCTATCTGAAGCCTTTTCTCCTTCTATTGTATTTCTGTTAAATACTTTAATTGTACATCTGACAATACTGCCTCTTTTATGTTGTACTTAGAAATTAATATACTTATACAATTAAGATTTATTAGCCAAACTTGAATTCTAGTTTTAAAACTGACTGTGAATTTTATTTTTCATATATTTATGCTTTGCACACCTTAGCTATGAGGGAAAGAAACGGTTTTGATTCCATGCTTCTTGCAGTTGATCTCTTGTTATTTAAACAAAATTTTCAGATCTATCTTTGGAGTATTTGTAACTTCTAATTTTTGAAATGACTGAATTAAGAATTTGGATGTTTGCTCTTTTGGTTTGTTTGCCTAAAATCCAGTCCACAATCCAGTTGTCTCCTGGGAGAGGGAGGTGCCTTGCAAACTTTCATATTATGAATGTGCCTGAGGCTGCTTTATTCTGGAATAGTCTCAGATCTAAAATCCGCACTACATAAGGTGACATCCTTAACTTCTGCTTCATCGGACCATTTAGAATACTGCGAAGATGCTGCCGTTCTGTTAGACTGCTCACTGTACCCCTGTCTCTGATTCGGCTCTCCGGAAGGGTGGCATTTGTTGTTTTTAAGATGACAGATGTGACAGCATCAGAATCAGAGTTTTACTTGAAACTCTGCAGATGCACAGGTGGTATGAAAAATAATAGGAAGGGTTTCGTGCAATGACAAAAGGTAAAATTGCTGTAAACGTTCAAGAATAAATATTTCCAACCCAAGAGCCTTCTGCTTGACTATGTATTATGAACCTAGTAAACCTTAGGATTTTCAAATTTGGAGTCTAAACCTTCAAGGAGGTGGGCTCCCAGGATGGTACCATTGCTCTTTCCTAGCTAACCCTAGATACGGCAGCTCTTTAATGTACTTTAAAAGCAAATATATATTACTAAGGAAAGAAGTTATTTATAATTGCCTTGTCATAATTGTTAAGGTGTCCTAGAACCATTTGCATACAATTTAATGTAATTCCATTCCATTCTATTGTTTACACAATTACTCAAAGATGACTGCAAAGGTAAAAGGAAAATAAAAGTGTATTGCACAGTGCAGTTGCGTCTCCTCCTTTTCATTCCTCCTCCAGCTGTCATCAGCATCTCCGCAGTGCAATTCAACACTGTCCTAAGATGCCTAGCATGCGCTGACTAGTAAGAAGTGCCCCGAAGGAAGATTGTCATGTCTGTGCAGTCACAGTCACAGAGCATAGGTTTTAACTGATTGACTGAAACATTCACACTCCATATAGACAGACGGTCTTTGAAACCACTGGGGCATCAAGGGACAAAAGAGAACAATTCCTTCCAACTACTTCGCCATTCACAGTAGTACTAGGAATACTGAGGAAAATCCAGATGAGTTAAGTGACTTACCCAGGGCACTCCAAAGAGCTGCTTGCAAAGCTGGGCATTCTCGATCCCAGTTTCCTGACAAAGAACAAATTCTTCACCATTTTCAGTACAACTTGTGAGTGTGGATAGCCCCAGAAGTTGAAGGTAAGTCCCTATCGCTGAAGACATCACAAACTTTGGACATAGGGCACGGAGGATTTGAGTGAGAATTAATCTCAAATCATCCTCTTTGGGGATTAGCTTTTATGATGCTGGGAGGTGCTATACAATCCGCTAAGGGACGAAATCAATTGTTAGTCATGCCCAGCTGTGACAACTGTTGTGAACCACAACAATGACCAGCATGGCAGGCTATCCCTAAAGGTACAGCAATGACACCGACCTTTACCTCTCTAAGGGTACTCAAGGTCCACTTAACAGGTGGGAAATGATGCCTGGTACTGTAAACTGACATAACACATGGCTAGTGAGGTCATGAATCTTAGTTCTGCAACATTGCTAAACCAATATATCCAATCTGCATTCTAAATACTTATACCCATAAATAAGTGTAGCTCTCATCTCTCATCAAAGAAGCTTCTTTGTGGACAGAAGGTGATCATTGCAGAAAGCTACTACTACTTAAAATGCAGGGAACAGCTGACTGTGGGAGGTCCTTTGCCCTGAGTGATGTATCTTATAGCTCCTGTAACTAGGTTTCAGAGAATGAACATCTTAGAAGAGGGGACAGAAAGATTGTCAGAGCCAGAAGGCCAGGAAGTCTCCTGTGAGATTGTGCCTTCTAGCTGTGGCAAGGAAGCTCCTCATATGAAATGTCAACATGGATACCTGAACAAGACATGAACAATTCCAACACCAGTTGACATCCTAACATAGACAGGAAATCTCACAGGGCCCTAAGATGAAGAGAACTACAAGCAATTAACAACTGCTGAGAGAGGGCAAATTAGTTTCCTCAGAGATGAGCCCCCGACTGGTTATCCAGTTTATAATAGTGAGCATCATGTCCAGGCAACACAAATGGACTCAGCAGATTAACTTACGTGGTTACTCATTTAGATGTTTATGTGACAACAGTTGTTAGCAAAGGGGGTGACCTTGGGATGTGGAGAGGGAAGTAGAAAATGTAATAATTACATTTTAATTAAATAATTAAGAAGAAAAATATATGATGAGGCTTTCATAGTCTCTTAAAATGACTAAAGAACTTTTGCACTATGATAATAAGTATCATTTAATTTCTGTATCCATACCCATATTGTCATGATTTTCCTAATAGTAGTTGGGATAGATTGGATACATTCACATAATAGGGTAAAGATTTTAAAGCACACAAATTCAGGATGAATGGACAATAAAGTTTCTTAACAAGCAAAGGTAAAATTGGAACACAAAATTCATCACAAGAGTTTACTTAGTTGGAAAAATACACAGATTTGAACTAATTCTCCCTAACTAATACATTGCCTCACTACCAACAATGCAAAGGTTTATACAGAATCATTAATCAATGTGGTACTTAAAAAAATTCCAAAGTTCAGCTGGGCAGTTGTGGCACACACCTTTAATCCCAGCACTTAGAAGGCAGAGGCAGGTGGATCTATGTGAGTTCAAGGCCAAGTTGGTCTACAAAGCTACATAGAGAAACCCTGTCTCAAACAAACAAACAAACCCAAAAAACAAAACAATTAAAAAATAATCTTAAAACTGGTATAGAAAAACAAAAATTCAGATAGTCATAACAGGCTAAAGTGTCATATTTTCTGTTTTCAGTATTTGTTATGAAGCTTTGATCATTTACAACCTAAGACCAAACCACTATGAACACAACTAATCTCTTCTGATCTCAAGAAGCTAAGCAGGCAAGGGCCTGTTAATACTTGCATAGGAGACAAAGCTGTGATAATCCAAGTATTATTGTCCTGTCATAAAATAGACCTACAGCTCCCCTTCCCCACCCTAAGCAGGGCAGAGATCCCAGAAATAAGCCTACACACAAGTGATCAACTTACTAAAAAAAGGATACCACAGCATACATAAGAAAGGACTGTGTCTTTGGTGAAGGATACTGGGGAGATCAGACTTCCATATGCAGAAGGATGCAACTGGATCTCTTTTCCGCATGATATACAATACCAGCTATATATGGGTTAAGATTTAAAATCTAAATCATGAAATTGTAAAATACCGGGTTTGGGGATTTGCCTCAGTGGTAGAGCACTTGCTTAGAAGGCACAAGACCCTGGGTTCGGTCCTCAGCTCCAAAAAAGAAAAAAAAAGAAAAGAAATTGTAAAATAATCTCTGGCATTGGCATTGACCTTGGTAATTAGTTGTTTGGGTGTGATATCCAAAACTCACTAACATACACATGGGCATGCGCACATACTCACAAGCAGAAAGAAGCAAATTGACTTACATCAAAATAAAAGGTTTCTACACAGCAAAGGAAATAATACATGAAACAGTGACCAATAGATTGGATGACAGCATTTGCAAACCAATATTTGCTAAATTAATATCCAAAATGTATAGGAAAGAGTTAGAGAGATGGCTCATTGGTTAAAAGCAATTGTTACTCTTGCAGAAGACCTGAGTTCAGTTCTTAGCAGCCACATGATGGCTCACAACCATCCTTAACTCAGGTTCCAGGGGATCCAACAACCTCTTGACATCTACATGCACCAGGCACTCACATGGTACATATACATACTTCCAGTATAAACACTCATGAAATAAATCTAAAAATAAATGTATATGGAGAACTGCATAGAGCTGTGGTAGTGCATTCTGTAATCCCAGAGCTCTTAAAAGACAAAGACAGGAGGGTCATGAGTTCCAGATAGGCCTGAGATTGAATTAATAGAATTCCTAACTGTTCTCACCACACATAAAAATACATGAAATATTTGAAAAGATAGATGTATAGGTTATCTTGATTGTAGTGATCAGTACACTATGTATATCAAAATATGTACACCTTAAATATAATTTCACTTTCAAACATAAATAAAGGAAATGCTAGTCACATGCAAATTGTATTTAAGTAGGAATTTCTGTTGTCTACTGGTAGGAGCCAGGAATTGCAGGATAATGAGTTTTATTTGAAGAGGATTTCCTAAAAGTTGTTACAATCATTCCTGGGATTTTTTTCAGCTTGAAATGTATCCTATCAAGAATGGTTATAATGATGATAATGTTCAATTAGTGTTAATGTTTAAGTCATGTAATATAAGTGGCTTATAAGTGTATATGTTTATAACATGATTAAATGACTGGCTTCCTTAACCCTATAGACAGTATCAGCTTGTATCCAAACCCAGCTTGTATATGAAACAATACTCACAAAAGTGCTTACCCAGCCCATAGGAATGTACAAGCCAATAAATAAATAAATAAATAAATAAATAAATAAACAAACAAATAAATAAATAAATAATAGGCAAAGGTGTCTGTCTCCAAAATACCCAAGTTATTGCCTAGATGCAATTCTGCTGCAAAGAAATTGTTTAACCAAACAATAATGATATCGCTCTATCTATTTTCTTCTGGCTTGTCCACCAAACCTATCTGCAGAATTGTCTGAGAATCTAAGAATCTGAACAACTAGATTGTATACCACTGTATATTATTCCAAAACCATGAATATGCTTTAGTTAATACTCATGTGAGCAAGGTTCACACAACCAAGAAAGGTATACCTAAGGTTTCAACTTGAATTTGAAATGTTTCCCCATACTCATGTTATGAAAATATGCTCTGCCTTTGTTGGCGTTATTTTAGGATGTTGTGAAACCTTTGGAAGATGAGATCTGGCCTAACTAGCAAAAGTACACTTCCAAAGGATGGAGCTTCAAAGGATATACTGTCTAGCTCTGGGTTGCATTATGGCCTCTGCTTTCTGGTCCACTGTGATGTGAACAGACACACAGTAAGGCTGCAGTGACCTCCCTACCATAATGGATTGAAACTATGTTCCAAAATGAATCCTTCCCATGAATTCTTTTTTCAAGTGTTGTATCACAGCAACATGAAAGTAAGACATACAAAAAATGCATGAATTATAGCCTCTAAAACAAACATCATTAGCTGCAGAAACTTACTGAGCCCATAACTCATAATTCATTGAAGGGCAGAGAATCTTATTTAAAGTGACAGTCTTGTGTGATTATTGGATTTATTATTGAATAATGAAAGGGCAGTGACAATTATTGGGATAGTACTTTTATCCCTCATATAGAATACTGGCTTGAGGAACAAAGATGTGTATTACAGAGGAAAATTATTTTAGAAACTGACTTATTCTTCAAGTAGAGTGTTCAGTAAACTAATGAAGCTATAATCTAGGAGAAGTTGGATAGTGCCTTTTAAAAGGCTCTGGACCCAAACAGATGATGATGATTTATGTGATATATGGTTCAAATCAACAGCCAATCATAATCAGTTGTAGTGCATTCAGGTAGATTTTTCATGTGCCTGTGTTCTATTCTCTAAAATATTGCTAAATATTTTTAAAGTAGAAATAACTGAATGATAATGAAATACAAGACTGAAGAGAAATATAAAAATTTGGTCTTAAGATATCAGTCCTGTTCATCTTATTGAGAAAGCCTGAATTCATAACCGCCGTGCTTCGTTTTCCCATTCAGCATTACCTGTAGCATTGTTCTATTCATTATTGAATTAATTTCATACAATGCTCACT